ATCATGCCATTATAATTGGCCTAAGGAAAGGCTCTATGCAAGCTCTCTAGCACCTATGAGAAAGAAGAAGAACGGTGGGCAGTCATGCCTCTCGGAAGCAGCTGTGACGTCATCCAGGAGGGTTTGCCCTCTACTGTAGATTAAGCCAGCAGCTTAGCAACCTTGGGAATGGCACCCCCACGTGAACTATTGAACATCTTCTAAAAAAGAACGTTCGTGGTAATTTGTAAACATCAAGTAACTCTAGAAATGCAGTTTTAAAAGGATGATGAAAATGTACAGTATGACAAATACAAGTATTTTGGAATTTGTTTAAATGAAGAATGGAATCCTAATCATACAATAAAAATCAGAATAAAGATAATCTGGAGCTTCTTTAAGATGCAACAAAAGTTAAAATTGATTGGACAATGCCTGTTGTATGGCACTATGTATTCTTGGTTCTATAGAAAAGCATGAAATCATGGACTTTTAACACGGGTTACTGTTTTAAAAAATGAAGCATTTGAAATGTGACTTCATCAGAGAACTCCAATAATTTCTTGAATTGAAAAATTAGTACAAAGAAGTGAGAAGGCAAATGAATGAAGACTGAAACTATAAAACACATGAAATGCAAAAATCTAGAATGCTTTGGCCACATAATGAGAAACAAAAACTACAGATTTTACCATTGATCATTGTAAATCGGTTACTGTCAGTGACCTTGGTGGGCCTCTGAGGCCTCAGCTCCCAGGGTCCTAGTAGTCACCTGCAAGCAAACTGATTTATGAGGACCATCTATGAGGGGGAGAGGTTGAGTCGGAGGCTGGGATAAAATAGGAAGACCAGGACGGCTCAGGGGCTTCTTTCTAAGAAGAGGGTGAGACAAAGACTTCAGAGGAGGAGGAGATTGCAGAGAGGCTGTCTAGGTTTGGGATCCCCGGTTCTGCACCTTGGCTGAGCTGGAGTCCACCTGGGAAGAAGTTCCCATTGAGTAAAAGAAGGGGCCGTGGATGAGGCGTGCCAGGAACAGGACTCCAAGAGTTACCATACCTCCAACATGACCTTGGTGCTTGCCTTGTCAGAAAGAAGCAGCAGCACCCACTCCAACCCAGGTGCAGTACTGGCAGCAAAGGCAGCAACGCAAGAGACAGAGGAGCTTCCAGGAGGAGCAGAGGAGCGAGCGCCAATATCCCTTGCCCGGATTTATTAGCCATCCTTTAAGAGTCTTCAACCAAGGCCAAGACTCCTCTGCCTTCCTACTTCGTGAAATCAGGACTCTCAGAGTTCTCTATGGCCTTAATAGGGAGCCCTCTTGAACGGACTTTTCCATGGGGGTTAGTGCAGGGATCACAAAGTGGGGTCACAAAGAGTCAGACACGACTAAACGACAACGAGTGCAGGGAACTCCACAACCACAACCCAAGAAGCTCCTGCCGGGAGTTCCTTTTGGTTCCTCAGTCACAAGACTGTTCTTGCTTATCCTCCCAACCTGGAGCCCATGGAATTATTTTGGGTGACCCAGCCACTGCCAGAACTATTGCAGGTGGGACCAGCAGCACTCACAATCATTCAAAGTAAAATAAACAGGAGGAAAGTGTAGGGAAAAAGTGTTAGGAGAGGAACAACAACAAGAAGAAAAAATTGAGAGCTGACCATGGCTTCATGTGCTTTCTCCCCAGTCCTTCCTCAATCATGCTGTGAATTTTTCAGGCTCATATCAGGTTGTCCAAACTGTGATTAAGGGTTAGTTTTATCAATTTTAACTCAGGTGAATTAGAATTACATGCAAACTTCAAACCTAAGTGAGCATTAACTATGCTTAAGACTGCTAGGAAAAATAGATGTGGCCTATAAGCTGGTGAAAAAGAATCGAGTGAAATTTCTCTACTTGTTCTATGAAGAGTGTTCATAGATTGGCCATTGATAAGAAGCCCTTGCATTTATGAGGCTCTAATTCATGGCCTTTGTATTCAGGGAGCAAACCTTCCAAGGTTATTCATTTAGATGGGCTATAAATTATAATAGTGGAATAAACTGGACCAGTAAAGATACAGTATAATGCTCCCAATCTCTTCAATACAGTCAAAGGATGAATAAGCAAGTCACAGAATCTCACATTCCCTTTCTCCAGCACTTCACTCCAGATTAACTTGCCTGACCAAAAGTTTAAAGTGGCATTATTTCTTCTTCTCTTTTCTAAGGATGTTCTGGCTCGTGAGCACTGCCATTCATATAACGGACGAGGAATCAGATCATTAGCATTTTCATTGGATGGCCGCCATCTGCTTGCTAATGGCTCAGAGGATGGAGCACTTGTTTGTCTAAAATGGAAGTATGTATGCACCGAAGAATATTGAAGCATAGCATAGGTTTGGCATTCCCATTAAACTATTGTATTACTGTTCAATAACAACTTAAATATTTTCCTTTATATGTTGTATTCTTTATTTCCAAGTTGTAGGATCATTATCTAGCCCAAATCTTTTCTGAAATTTTCAATCCCTAATGCTATTGTGAAACTGCTTGAACAAAATGAGTATTCACTGCCACAAAATGCAGAGAATGTGGTATAGTGTCAGTGGATCCTCAGTGATATTTATAGTCTACCCAAATATCTGTGTGATTTCCTGGACCTGTATTCTACAACAGTGAAATAAAAAGAAGGAAATGTTAATAAAATCACTGGAAAATACTGAGATTCTATTGGTTTCCAAACACCATTGTTTAGATGTGTTGGACTGCATCTTCCATAATCCCCCAGCCATTTTGGCATGATACACTGCCTGGGAATAATAAAAGTTCTAATCCACTGTATTTGAAGGGTGCTGAATAGGGGAAAGCTGTTATATGTTATCCGTAGGGGGAGGATTTCTATGACCTTTCACATTTTCTCTGCAATCTACATTTTAACCCATAAGCAAGTTCAAACGTGTTTATGAGTTAATCTGGCCTTTCTCACATGTTCAAACCCACTGATAAGATCAAACATGGGTTGCAGAAAAAACATGACATGTCATAGGAATCCACCCACACACACACACAGTTATCAGTCTTTCTAATAACTTGTTTGGCATCAAATAAGCACCGCTGATTTGATTGATAGGAGTTATAAGCCCAAAACAACGTATTTCTGAACAAACATGCATAAAATGGGATTGTAAAGATTTATGACCATTATATTAGAAACAGTAGTACAATTCTTCTAAATTTTTCCCTAGTTTTCTAATTATCTTCTCTTTTCATCTTTTTTTTTCTCACCCAGGAAGCTTGGAGAGCGCAAAATGAAGGATGCATCTGATTTTGGGACTTATGTTCTTAATACAGTCAACAGTTATATTTACCGTGAAAACTTATTTCTAAAGACCATGGCAGAATGGACAATGGCATCGAAGCACAAATATGACTTGCCTTTTGAGGGTGCTTCCTCTCAGGTCTTACACCTCTTAAATTTATTAAGAAATTTTATATTTGACATCAGGCCACCTAAAATGTGCTGACCCCTAGGATAATATAGTGATCTTGTTTGCTATCATGAGCTCCTTAAAGCAGTGGTCCCCAACCTTGGGCCTCCAGATGTTCTTGGACTTCAATTCCCAGAAATCCTGGCCAGCAGAGGTGGTGGTGAAGGCTTCTGGGAATTGTAGTTCAGTAACATCTGGAGGCCCAAGGTTGAGGACCACTGCCTTAAAGCAGTGGTTCTTAACCTTTGTTACTCAGATGCTTTTGAACTGCAACTCCCAGAAACCCCAGTTAGCACAGTTGGTGGTGAAGGCTTCTGGGAGTTGCAGTCCAAAACTCCTGAGTAACCCAAGGTTAAGAACCAGTGCCTTAAAGGATAGTAAGATATAAACACAGAGACCATACCCATTATTCTACCTTATTATATAATGTCTTTCCATGGTGTGGGCACTGCATGGCATCAGGCAGAAGTGCTTTCTACCAGTGGACAAAACTCTGTTATCCCCAGTTACAGCCACAGCAATCTCTAGAGGCATAAATCATATAATTTATGTCTCATAAATTCTGTCTCAGAGTTGGCCTTGGATTTGCTGAAATCAAACTCCCTTGACTTATGAGGGAAGCTTGAAGATCCCCTCCAAACATGTCAGTCTGGAGCTGACAATTCCTTCCCCCTGCTTGTAGGAAGCAATGAGGGAAAACTTCAAAACGTTTTCAAATAGTACAGGGGAAAGGGGAAAGGGTCCCACATACTTACCACTGGTGAAAACCAGTAGGACTTGGAAAGTGGAGAACAATCCACTAACTAGCTGCCCCAGTGACTTCACTTAGGATGGCAGTATACATTTTGGTGAAAGTGGAGGTCTGATGATGCTTTAATAAATGTAATGCTTCGTGTATATTCCCAAGTCTTCCTGGAAGCAATGAAACCCAGTGGCTGGAAAGGCTTTATACGAACACGGCAACCCCAGACTAGCGTAATAGCATACTTAATGGTTTATGGAAGAGATAGACAAGCTCCAAGGCCTCCAGGAATCAATTTCTCATCTGTAAAATGATAACCTCTGAAAACAGTGCATAAATTTAAAGTGGATGGAAGATACATTCAGATTGTACAATTTTTTAAAAAATCTATTTTTTTCTTGAAAGGACTTTTCCAGGTGTGACAGTTGTCCATTTTGCATTAATTGGGAGGGGGGAGAACTGGGTTTGAGTAGAGCCTGGGGGTCACATGGTTCCCATTACACATTTTTAGATCTAATGTAAAAATGTAGTGTAATGTAATACCAACAATAAAGATAGTGTATCACCAGCATTAATGGCTCTTGCTAGATTATAGATATTGCAAAACAAAAGCAGTGTATATGTACCATATATCATTTAGTGCCCTATCCAAGAAGACTGGAGAATATAACAAAAATAAAGAGACAAACTCTGAATGCCAGAAATAAAATTTAAATATAAATTATATGAGCAAGCATCTAAAATTAAATATTGAAAAGTTCTGGGTGGGAGAGAATTAGTCATCTTGGATCCCTTATTGGGGGAAAGGTAGCCTATAAATATATAAAATAAACAATAAATTGTAAATGAAGACACGTGGATATCAGGTCCTGTTTCTCTCTTTTTTTAGATGAAATTCCATAAGATAGCATCTATTGAAACAACAGATGAAGATGAATACTTTCTTCTAACACAAGCAAAATCTGATGAAATTTCCTGGCTAGATGAGAAAGCACAAAAGGTATTGCCTCCCCCTCAATTAAAGAGGCACGATACAAATAATAGATTTCAAACTGGACCACAATTCACTCACTCACTCACTCACTCACTCACTCACTCACTCACTCACTCACTCACTCACTCACTCACTCACTCACTCACTCACTCACTCACTCACTCACTCACTCACTCACTCACTCACTCACTCACTCACTCACTCACTCACTCACTCACTCACTCACTCCATCCATCCATCCATCCATCCATCCATCCATCCATCCATCCATCCATCCATCTCCCTCTCTCCCTCCCTCCTTTGGCCTGTGGTGGGGCCTAAGGTAGTGCACCACAGCAGGTGGAACTTTCCAGCCCCTCTCCAGACTGGACTGGGAGAGCAACTAGCCATGGGGTGCTGCTATACCTTTCCAGCATTGCTCCAACTGGTTCCTCTGGGAAGAGACCTTTGTGTCCATTACCTGTCTAAGTCCCGTGATTTGAGGCTAGTCATAACTTGAGTCTGATTACCTATCTAAGTCCCATGATTTGAGGCTAGTCATAACTTGAGTCTGCCTCAAAGGGCCAATGCTGCCATAATTTGCAGTACCCACAGAAGAAACCCAATTACCCTGAAGGCACCCAGTGGGGACTCAGTGCTACCATCCTCTTTCTCAGAACTACCAACCAGGTTGTGACCTATTTAAGAAACAGCAACACCCATCTGTCCATTGTACCCTGTAACAATCAGAACAGAATAGGCAAAAATCCACCCAGATCTCCCATTTTTAATATGCCAACTGGGTGACAAGGTCCAAAATTCCTATCCAACACATGTTCGCCTCCTCTTTGCTGACCTGTGGCAATGTCCCTGCCCCCAGCTTCAAGGTACAGTGGTGCCCCGCATGACGATGATAATCCGTTCCATAGAAATCAATATTTAGTGAAATCATCGTCATGCGAAAACCATTTCCCCATTGGAATGCATTGAAACCTGTTTAATGCATTCCAATGGGGAAAATACATAGTTGTCCTGCGAAGATTGCCCATAGGGAAGCTATTTTGCGAGTGCCAATCAGCTGTTAAAATGGCTGTCCTGCAAAGCATAGGTCCCAAAAACATAGGGAAGTCATTTTGCGAAGCCACCGATCAGCTGTAAAAATCATTGTCTTGTGAAAAAATGGTCCGCGAAGCACAGACCAAATCATCGTCCTGCAAAAATTAGCCATTGGAATAACTGTTTTGCGAATTGCTATAGCGATCGCAAAACCTCATCATCATGCGGATTCGTTGTTTTACAAGTCATCGTCTAGTGAAGTACCACTGTAATAGGAGTGTGGAGGTGTCATTGGCAGTACCACAGCTATGTCTCAATGGAGATACAAAGCTGCCCTGTAGAAATTGGTCAGAGGCTAAAACCAAGCAATTTAGTTTGTGTCTGTGCCTCTGGGAGAAAAAAGGGTTTTGGTCTTGATCTGTAGTTTTGGTTAGTAGACAGTTCTCAAACCATGATATTCCAGTGTAGATGTCACATCAAATGATGGTTTAACAAATCACCAACATCTTGCTCCAAAGTAAGGTGTGCCAGATTGAAGAAAAAAGGAGCAAGGAGAGGAGAATGTTTATATTCATTGTATTCTTGAAGGCTTTCACAACCACAGATGCCAGCCACAGAGAAAAGTTAGGAAGAAATGTTAGGAAGAAAAACCTCCAGAACACGGCCAAACAGCCCAAAAAGCCTACAACAACCATTTATATTCATTGTTAATTTCAAATCAAACCATGATTTGTTTGGTCAGGAACATGAAGATCAAGCCAGGCATTTGTTCCTATAATTCATTTGCTGCTTTCTGGAAGTCTGGAATACCACAGGAATACTTATCCACCCAAAACTGGGCGGTTCCATATACATTTATCAGAGAGAAGTCCTATTGACAAAACAGGATTAGCCTAGGTAACATTCTACTGTTAATGTCACATAAAGCAGCTGGAGAATTCCTAGCTTCTTGGTTTTTATAGATTCTGTTCTACACTAGCACAATGCTAAGGAGAAGAAAATGATCAAAAGAGATATTTTAGGAAAAAATTGATTTTCAGATACTTTTAATACTGCAATTGCTGCTGGAATTTATCTCTGCCTTATTGCATGTGTCCATAGTTGTACTATTAATTATTTTTCTGCTCCATCCCCATATTTCTCCTTGCCATCTGTCTCTCTACTGTACTGCAGGCTATCAAGGAAGAAAGCAGGAAGTTTGATGAAAAGAGAAAAGAATTAAAAAGTGGAATTAAGGTGCTTCGTAAAAAGGTCTGTGGTGACAAATCACCAGAATTTTTACCGAAGGTGGCGTGCAGGCTTAGCCAAAGTACTGGAGACATTATAATATCACTGCCTATTTGTATTTAGACTTGCCTGTGGTTCTCTCAGACCTCTTTTCTTTCAACTATACTTGCATAGTTCCTCTCTGAATTGTGATGGGAGTCCAAATGAATGGACATTGATATGACTGGGTATGGAGGTTTATATGGCAAAGACACACATAGCACACAAAGCATCCTTCATATAGATGCATGTGAAGGATGCTTAGTGGACATGCTCTTAGTGTATGATTTTTAAAAAATTCAAAGCTTGTGTGAAAAGTGTGCATCTAAGCAGTACCACAAGCAGATAGCTGAGTCAATCCCACTGCTGAAAGGTTGATTGCCACCATCCCTTGTGTCTACATTTATCTGGCCCAGACTGTAGAAGATGTTCCTAAGAGTCCAGAAAGCATGTGCCAAACTTGCACCCTTTGTTCCGAGGGTATTAGTCTTGAAACCTTTTCAACAGTAGCAATGAACCAAGAGGCAAGATGCTGGCTTTAGTCTCAAGGCTATTTCACATTCCTAACCATAATAAATTATGTGCTGTCAAGTCAATTCCAAATTATGGTGACCCTTTGGAAGGTTTTCTAGAGTACTCAGAGGTAGCTTAGCATTTCTTTCTCACCCTGCTACTGTGCAGATTGCCTAAGACTATACGGGCTAGTTTTTCTCCCAGAAAACATAGTCAGGAATCAAATTCCCAAACTCTGGCTTCACAGCCAGCTATCTATCTCAATGAGGTATACAGCCTGCATTCTTAGCCATGCTGTTGTTATGTGCCTAGACAGCCAAGAAAGGCATATTTTACATGCATATATATGCCTCCTTCACTAATTTACTTTCTCATTTGAAAAATAGATTCAAGAAATGATGTTTGAAAATTCAATGGCACCTAAAATTGAGAAGCTAGATCAACAGGAATTCAATCTGGACGTTGAAGACCAAGAGAAACAGCAAGTGCACAGTGAAGCAGAAGTTGAAAGGGTATGGTCATCTTATGGGGACACAGTTTAATGTGGCTGCTGAAAGGCCATAAGGAAATTCTGGACAAACTCTTAACTAGTAGAGGGTGAAAAATGGAAAAAATGTTAAAATTTAACAGAAATGTTAAAATTGGTTTGGGACAATGTTCAAGTTGGGCACAAAGTGCCAATATTTTGTGTGGCACCATTATTTTCCAGCACTGCCTTAACCCTCTTGGGCATAAGAGTTCACCAGAGCTTCACAGGTTGCCACTGGAGTCCCATTCCTCCATGATGACATCACAGAGCCGGTGTAGAGACCTTGCACACCTCCATCTTCCATCTCAGGATTCCCCACAGATGCTCGATAGGGTTTAGGTCTGGAGACATGCTTGGCCAGTCCATCACCTTTACCCTCAGCTTCTTTAGCAAGGCAGTGATCGTTTTGGAGATGTGTTTGGGGTCGTGATGATATTGGAATACTGCCCTGAGGCCCAGTCTCTGAAGGGAGGGGATCATGCTCTGCTTCAATATGTCACAGTATTATGTTGGCATTCATGGAATGTAGCTCCCCAGTGCCGGCAGCACTCATGATATGTCACAGTATATGTTGGCATTCATGGAATATAGCTCCCCAGTGCCGGCAGCACTCATGCAGCCCCCGACCATGACACTCCCACCACCATGCTTGACTGTAGGCATGACACACTTGTCTTTGTAGTCCTCACCTGGTTGCCACCACACACGATTGACACGATCTGAACCAAGTAAGTTTATCTTGGTCTCATTGGACCACAGGACATGGTTCCAGAAATCCATGTCCTTAGTCTGCTTCTCTGCAGCAAAACGTATACACTTTCATGTGCATCATATTTAGAGAGGCTTCCTTCTGGGATGACAGCCCTAGAGACCAATTTGATGCAGCGTGCGGCATATGGTCTGAGCACTGACAGGCTGACCCCCCCACCACACCCCTTCAACCTCTTCAGCAATGCTGGCAAGCACTCATACATCTATTTCCCAAAGCCAACCTCTGGTTATGACGCTGAGCACAGGCACTGAACTGCTTTGATTGACCATGGTGAGGCCTGTTCTGAGTGGAACCTGTCCTGTTAAACCACTGTATGATCTTGGCCACCATGCTGCAGCTCAGTTTCAGGGTTTTGGCAATCTTCTTATTGCCTAGGCCATCTTTGTGTAGAACAACAATTAGTTTTTTCAGTTCCTCAGTTTATTACCAGGAGGTGCCATGTGGAATTTCCAGTGACCAGGCCTAGGCCATCTTTATATAGAACAACAATTAGTTTTTTTAGATCCTCAGATAGTTTATTACCAGGAGGTGCCATGTGGAACTTCCAGTGACCAGTCTGAGAGAGTGAGAGCAGTAACACCTGCTCCCCTTCACGCCTGAGACTTGTGACACTAATGGATCTCATGATACCAGGGAAGGACAACAACTACTTGGCCCAATTTGGACATTGCCACTTAGGGGTGTACTCACTTTTGTTGCCAGCTGTTTAGACATTAATGGCTGTGTGTTGTATTATTTTGAGGGGACAGCACATTTACACTGTTGTACAAGCTGTATATTCATGGCTTTACATTGTAAGGTAAAGGTAAAGGTTCTCCTTGACAATTTCATATTCACGGCTTTACATTGTAAGGTAAAGGTTCTCCTTGACAATTTGTCCAGTCGTGTCCGACTCTAGGGGGCGATGCTCATCTCTGTTTCCGACCCATAAAGCTAGCATTTGTCCGAAGACAATCTTCCATGGTCATGTGGCCAGCGCGACTAGACATGGAACGCTGTTACCTTCTCCCTGTGGTGGTACCTATTATCTACTACCATTTTTGCATTTTGCATGCTTTCGAACCAGTAGGTTGGCAGGAGCTGGGACAAGCGACAGAGGCTCACTCTGATATGTGGATTCGATGTTACAACTGCAGGTCTTCTGACCTTGCAGCACAGAGGCTTCTGCGGTTTAACTCGCAGCACCACCTCATCCCTTTACACTGTAGCCAAGTGTTATTTCTTCAGTGTTGTCACAAGAAAAGATATACTGATATATTTATGAAATGTGAGGGGGTGTACTCCTGTGATATACTGTAGATATTGTAGTCCATTAAATTCCTTGATTGAGTTTTTGTATTTCCAGTGTCCATTCCTATGAATTGATAATGAGATTAATGCTTGGAGTGATTTCAACAACTTAGAAGTACATGGAATGTGTATGCATCTCATTTGTTTTCTTTGTTATGAAACAGGTAAGAAAGGATATAGAAATGGAAAATTTAGCTAATAGCTATTTACATGAAATCATCAAACAAGAGTGCTGGGATGCAATGTCTGTTAAAGGACGCTCAGTCAAGGTAAGGTAACCTCAGTGCCATGACTGATAGGGAAGCTGCCATGAAAACTGTTGTTGCACTAATAAGATTATATGCTGTGATGTCCTTACTTCTTGCTTTTCAGTAAAGAATCCATCTCTCCATACCAAACTATTGGTGTGTATACATGTAGTAAGTTGGTTTTCTTTAGTTCAACCAATGGCATATTACTACTGTTGAGATTATGAGGTAACATTGCAACTCAATGCATGGTTCTGTAAAATTTTTAATCCAGGTGCATGTTGGTTGATTCCCATAGAAAGTAATGATGTAATGGTCATGACTAACTTTTTTACTTTGGTCTCACCAGGAATAAGTTCAGTTTATTTAGTTTAGATTTAATCTTTAGAAATAATAATAACTGCATGCCGTCAAGTCATTTCTGACTTATGGCAACCCTTTTTAGGGTTTTCTGGGCAGAAATACACAGAAGTGGTTACCATTCCTTTGGACTGTGCAGCTTGCCCATTACAGCATAGGCTGGCCCTTCTCCCTGGAGGCACTGTAGAGAATCAAACTGCCAATCTCAGCCAGGTCCCTAAACCACTGAGCTATCCAGCCAGCTCATCCTTAGAAATAAAGGCCCAATTAGGTGTTCTATTCATCTTGAAGACCATTAATTTGTGTCTTTCTTTACCACACTTTAGTTTCAATTATGCTGTTATAAATTTGTTAGACCTTAAGTTTCCAGAGGACTCTATTCTGTGGCAGCAAAAAGAACAAGGACAGCAACTGCTTTGCAAATGTGGATGTGAAATATTGTGAGGAAAAATAAGTAACAGGAGATACTGCAGAAATTTTCTTCTTTTTTCATAGACTTTCCACTCACCCTGTGAAGTCCACAATTACCCTATGAAAGAACAGAGTGAGGAAGAACAGCAAACGCTAAAGAGAATTCTGTATTTAAAGAAGATTGAAGCAACAGATCTAAAGGTGGAATCTCCTTTCAGCTCTTAAAAATTCCCTCATCCACTTTTGTACATTGTACAATAGCACTCTTCTATATCCCATATTAAATTACTGTAAGTACAGTAAATAGAACAAAGTCAAAATCTAAAGCCTCAGTTCTCATAAATTGTTACTGAGTTTTATCTTGGCCAATTATCTGTTTTTGTCCCATACTAATAGGATAATTTAGCAATATAGATCATGGATCATAGCAATATGATCGCAAGATAGAGACCTGGAAAAGAATGGTATTATGAAATATAACTATCTGTGCCAGGGTTGTCCAACCTGCGGCCTGAAGGCCGCATGCGGCCCAGGTCAGCTCATAATGCAGCCCAGTGAAATTTTTTATTTTTTAAAAAATGCCAAAGTTTCAAGTTACACTGCCGGCTCTTGCGGCCGGAATGCAGCTGGGGTACGTCACAATGGGGGGGGGGGGAGGGAAGGAAGGAAAGAGCAGGAGGGGAGGAGAGAAGGGGGCTGTGTGACTGCATTGCGCCGTTGCCGTCAATAGGTGGACCCCCTCCCGGCCCCATAATGCCACCCGAGTTGAAGCTGGCAGCCTCTGCTGTCTGAGATTGCAGCTGCTAATAAGCGCACTTGGAGCAGGGCTGCGGAGGACAGCTAGCATGCGGCCCAAAACAAATTTATGTGTGGCCCAAACCAAATTTTCATCTTCTAATGTGGCCCAGGGAAGGTGAAAGGTTGGACACCCCTGATCTATGCTGTACTTTGACCACATAATATATAGAAATCAGAGACTCTGTACTTGATAGATGCTCTGAGTTTCCTGCTGTTTTGATTACTAACGATTCCTTGTTGTCAGAACATATTTCCTTGAATCTTCATCTTATCTGAGAGAGTTTCCACAGTGGTGATGAAGTAATGCTACAGAGCTTGGCAGTTTTTACACAGTTTGAATTTTTTGTATTTTTACGTACCACTTAAAGATATGTAGCAGCAAGACTTAAGGACCAAAATAGTACTGACATTATTTCTGCAGTTTCTAATTGTGTTAATTTAAAAAAAAGTAGCTGTAGAGGACCCACTCAGAATCAAAATTATGTGAGGGGAAAGGCACCTGTAATTCACTCAGGATTACATAGCAGACACACTTCCAATCCATTAGCACTTGGGGGTGGGGCAAGAGGATGAAGCCTTCATGTCCATATGACATGGACCCCAATCTGACTTCCCTCTTCAAAAGTTTCTATTTACTTTTGAAACAGTAGTGAAGTTAATAACAATGTGAATAACATTATATTTTTGAGATACAATAAATTCTAGTCCATTTTGCTTTCTTGTAGTTCCCTACAGTTCTGCATTTCCCCCATATCCAAAGTCTGCTAAAAGAATTCTAAATTCAACCACAAAACTGTGCTACAAACTTCTGTTGCCTGAGGCATGCATCAGATGAATAATAATAATTTACAAATAAATATATATACTTCGACAAATTAGTTGTTTTTTAAAGTGCTTTAGAAATCTCTTCCAGTTTGAGTTATAGAAAAACACCGAATTATATAAACTTCAGATTATTTATTTATTCATACCTCCCTTTCTTGCATGGAAATTTGTCACAATAACACCTCCTTCCTACAGAGTTTGTTTGTGGTTTTAATTCCTAAAGTGTTTAGTGTAAAATTCATAAATACATATTTCAGATGAAGAATCAGCACTTTGGAGAGCCTTGGGGCCTTTTTGGCCTTCCCAGGTCTCAGCTACCCCAATTCCCTTGATGGACATGTCCAAAAAAAACCTCACAAAAATGGCAAATTAAATAGGCCTGGGGAGGAGACTATAGACTTCAAGTGGCAAGCCATGACCCTGAGGCTTCTATATGCACTATTTGCCATTTTTACAATGAAAGGTTTATATTTTGCAGAGATGATCTTGGAACAGTACTTTGCCTACCTCATTGTAGACGATCCTTGCATTATTTGCACTGGCATTCTAATTTGTTCTGTTTTATATATACATACATACAGCTTCGAAAAAAGATTGTTGAATTTGAGTCACAGCCATCAGTGATTAAAGAGGAAGGGGAGAAGGCAGAGGAAGAAGAAGAAAAAGTAGATACTCTCGTGGGGAGCCTTAGTTCACATTATGGTGGAGATACATCTGTTTTGTACCATCAGATGGAATTGCACACTCGAGAGGAGAAGATCAGTCAGATAATATTGATACGGGTATCTTATTCATATCTGCTTCTTAACAGATCTATTCTTCAAAGAATGTTTTCAGGACAGGCTATCTCTGAAAGAAAGACTGTGCTGTTTGTGTTGTAGTAGTAGCTGCTGCTGCAGATCCTGATCCACCCTGATCAGTATTTTGCTAAATTTGTTCTTTGTCCTGTACCTTGGGGTACAATGGGCTGACAAGAATATAATGAGGCTGCTTCCATAAAAAGTGACTGAATAAATGGTTAGCAATTCCAGAAGTTGGAGTTTACTTGCAAAAGCAAAACAGAATCCCTGAAGGTATATGAGATAACTGCTGGCAGTCATCAAGGAAGTCTACTTTGAAATCAGTCACCAGAATCCTATTGAGTTTGTGAAGCATGAACCTAAAGTTATGGTATGCAAAATCATTGTGGGTGTCTGTTGTGTACTCAGACATACTCATATCATGCATTTGGTTACAGCATTGTTGCGTGCCTAGGTGCCTGACAGATTACTCAAAAGTTGCAAAAATCACTTTCATAGTATCTCTTGTGCATGTATTATCTTCTGATATGATGCTGGTCAGTATGTAGCGTGGGCTTTTATCACATGCCATTGTCAGTTTTTTCATCTTCCTGCTTGCTGTTTTAGGACATTATTCACCATGTGAAGAGTGCTTTTAATATGGAGTTTGACTCCATTTGTCGAATGAAAGAGCTGGAAATTGCACGTGTGAAGGAGAGGAACACGAGGATCTCAGAGATCTTGAAACAGCTGGATATACATGAGGAGATATGGGTGCCAACTTTTGCAGATAATGAGAAACCAGAAAGAGCATTGACAGTCCTAGATGCAGAGGTTAAGTATCTGAAATATAGATTATTCTCTCTTGACACTCTGAGGACCTACATCCCTTGAAAGAAGAATATACACATGCAATAATGTTTGTTACAACAATTCAGGGCAGACTATAAGGGTACATGACTTGGTGCATATAGATACCTATGTTTAACTAATTGTTTGAATGAGAACTCTCCTTAATCTATGTCTTATTTTGTTTCATAATGGGGCAATCATTAAGCAAGATCTCTCTCTCTCTCTCTCCCACCTCTTCTCTATAAAGCAAATCACTATATATAGTGTCTTCAACACCCCTGGTCAGCTCTTGTAAACTCAAAGCTTCAGCTTCCTTTAGGAGTCAGCCTATCTCGCATTTGGTCTAGAGATAGTTCAAGCTTACTTTTCTCTAGGACCCATTTGTCTGTCTTTATGATCTCTTCTAATTCCTTTATTGCTGCCCTTCTGAATCTCAGGGATTCCCCAATGGTCTTTTAGCCAACAACTAAGTTATTTCAGATGTCCCTTGCCAATGAACCACAATTACTGTAGACTCCTGTTTATATAACATATAATTGACACTATGCAGTCTATAGTGTGGCCTTGAATATGCATTCCTTACTGAAGGCTCCACAAGCATTGTAGAAACAATATTGTTATGGACGGATGATTTAAAAATAAATGACAGAAATTTGAGGAATTTATTGGGTAAAGATACAGTGATTTATCTGATTACCCCCCCCCAAAAAAACCTTAATCTGAATGAATTGCCTTAACAGATCAAAGTTGAAAAGTACTTGACTCCAGTGCAGAAAGCAAAAGAAAAAATTATGGCAAGGGTCGAGCATAAAAGACGTCTTGCTGCTCAGGTTTGATTTTTATTTTAATATACATTTCTACTCTTTAACTATTTGCTCCATTTTAACTTTATCTTTTATTCTTCCATTGGTTTCAGGGGGATAATGCAAGAGAGCGTGGCCTTATGGACATGATGAATGGAGTGCTTGAAATAAAAAAAGAAGATATTTTGAAGATGGCGAGTGATATTTCTATCAAAACTAAATTAAAGTGAAAGCTAATGCAAAAATAGGCATGAGCCTTAAAAATCACATGAGCTTCTGTAGATTGAAAAAACACTTTGTCAGATGTGTACCAGAGTGAAGAACTTTAAGTTCGAAAGTTCATAGCATAACGGATTATGCCAGGAAAGTTACTCTTAGATGTAAAGTCCAAAAATTCTTGGCGAGATGGAATTTGCCAGGCGCGTCTCTCCTAATTTAAGCCAAGAAATCGTATGGTTGTTGTTTTATGGTTTTATGGTTAAAGCTGAGGCAGCTGTGGATTGATGTATCACCTATTTTTGTATTTGTTTTATTTTGTATTGATGTGTCTCTCCTAGATTTAAGCCAAGAAATCGTATGGTTGCTGTTTTATGGTTTTATGGTTATAGCTGAGGCAGCTGTGGATTGATGTATTTTTGTATTTGTTTTATTTTGTATTGACCACACAGCTACCCATTATTTCAAAGGAAAAGCTGTATCTCTTGATGTAGGAGTGTGAACTTATGACTTGCTTTACTTATACAGCCTTATAAATAACCCTAAATTAAAAATGCCTTGCTGAGCCCTACTTGATCTGGTTTCAATCACCATATTAGGAAGTATTTCATTTATATAAATTGGTACTGAGGGCATAGACAGACATTACAGATATGATGTGTTTCAGATAGTCAGTTCCTTAACTGCTGAAAGCAACTGAATGCACAGCAGGAGCTTTCAGTCTCCTCATAGGTATGAGGTAGCATATTGAAGTTCATTTACTGCACAGCAGCAGTTCTTTGACACTTCCAGTTATGTCACTGGAGATCATCAGAAGATAACATTCTGAAAGTATAAATCCTTTAGGCCTTGTAATAATAAAGATCTGGTGCTGTATTTGAAACTATCTGTTTTATATATTCAGGAGATTCCAGCACCTGCTTTTATATCAAAAGAAGATGCCCTCTGGAATGAAGAGGAGAAAAAAATATATAAGGAATATGAGAAGAAAGTTAAGGAACTGAATGAAGAAAGGGAGAAACACCGAAAGGTAAATAAGAATAAGATGAGAAGAAAGATTATCAAGATTTCTGTCCTTTAAGAGGCTTTTAGGAAACCCCTTATCTACTTTAAATAAATTAAAATAAAATTTTCTCATGTGTGACCAATATAATTGGATTTATGCTGTCTCTGATAAGGCAAAAGGAAGATTTAAGTCATTTCTCATTTTCCATGTTTTTGTTATCGTCAGGTTAATAGAAATCTACTATTATATTTTATTCTCAGCCTACATTTTAAGTGAAAAGGACTGAGCAAGATTAGATTAATAGCACCACAGTGTTTCAAGAATATGAATGAATCAATTTTTTGCTTCTTTTCTGTGATGGAAACACTCTGGTTGATATATCTGCCCTTATTTTGCAACAGCTATGCTAAGTCACCTTCTATTCCCACAACTTAAAATTATAGTGGCATTTTTGTCATCTATTTCAATTTCTATCAGTATGACACAGAAGCAACATAATTATTACAGGAATTCACAGAGAACCAGAGGCATATGATTCCTCTGTGATTAAGTTACTAGATAAACTGCAAGTAGATAGTGTTCTGGGTCTGTATTGAGGTAGGGCAATTTAGTTGTTGTTGTTGTTTAGTCGTTCAGTCGTGTCCAACTCTTCGTGACCCCATGGACCAGAGCACACCAGGCCCTCTTGTCTCCCACTGCCTCCCGGAGTTGGGTCAAATTCACGTTGGTAGCTCCAATGACACTGTCCAACCATTTCATCCTCTGTCGTCCCCTTCTCCTCTTGCCTTCACACTTTCCTAACATCAGGGTCTTTTCCAGGGAGTCTTCTCTTCTCACGAGATGGCCAAAGTATTGGAGCCTCAACTTCAGGATCTGTCATTCCAGTGAGCACTCAGGGTTGATTTTTTTTAGAATGGATAGGTTTGTTCTCCTACAGGTTTGTTCTCCTATAGGTTTGTTCACTACAGGAAAAGCCATAGCTTTGACTGTGTGGACCTTTGTTAGCAAGGTGATGTCTCTGCTTTTTGAGATGCTGCCGAGGTTTGTCATCGCTTTCCTCCCAAGAAGCAGGAATCTTTTAATTTCGTGACCATCTGAGGTGATCATGGAGCCCAAGAAAGTAAAACCCGTCACTGCCTCCATATCTTTCCCTTCTATTTGTCAGGAGGTGACGGGACCAGTGGCCATGATCTTAGTTTTTTTGATGTTGAGCTTCAGACAGTTTTTGGCGCTCTCCTCTTTCACCCTCATTGTAAGGTTCTTTTAATTCCTCCACACTTTCTGCCATCAGAGTGGTATCATCTGCATATCTGAGGTTGTTGTTATTTCTTCCGGCAATCTTAATTCTGGCTTGGGATTCCTCCAGTCCTGCCTTTCACATGATGTATTCTGCATATAAATTAACTAAGCAAGGGGACAATATGCAGCCTTGTCATACTCCTTTCCTGATTTTGAACCAATCATTTGTCCCATATCCAGTTCCAACTGTTGCTTCCTGTCCCACGTATAGTTTTCTCAGGAGAGAGATAAGGTGGTCAGGCACTCCCATTTCTTTAAGGACTTGCCATAGTTTGCTGTGGTCGACACAGTCAAAGGCTTTTGCATAGTCAATGAAGCAGAAGTAGATATTTTTCTGGAACTCTCTGGCTTTCTCCATAATCCAGCACATATAAGCAATTTGGTCTCTAGTTCCTCTGCCCCTTTGAAATCCAGCTCGTACTTCTGGGAGTTCTCTGTCCACATACTGCTGACGCCTACCTTGGAGGATTTTGAGCATAACCTTGAAATGAGTGCAATTGTACAGTAGTTGGGGCATTCTTTGGTGCTACTCTTCTTTGGGATTGGGATGTAGGCTGATCTTTTCCAGTCCTCTGACCACTGTTGGGTTTTCCAAACTTGCTGGCATACTGAATGTAGCACCTTAACAGCGTCATCTTTTAAGATTTAGTAGAAGTACCAAAACAGAGAACATGCAACCAAATTCTTTCTCACTTGCATTTTGCTCATTTTCCTCCCCACTTTTCACAGACTGCAGGGCCATAGGATAGTAGAGTTTCAGAATACTGTCCAGTCACAGCTTGATTTATAATTGACTACTTTGGACATAAAGAATGCCACAGTCTTTGGATCCTGAATCTTTCAAACTTCTTACATTTTGTGTTGTTCTGACCATCCAGAATCTTTTCTTCTTTTAAAGCAACAAGTCTAGATTTTGGAAGAAGCACAGATGAAAGTTTGTGAGACTTCATTCTCAACTGTAATCTATATCCAGCCTTCCCTGTTATAGACATTGCCCTTTTTCTTTCACAGATTTTGGAAACTGAATTGAAGAAACTTCAAGGTTCTATTCAGGAAACTACCCAAGCATTTGATGAAATTGTAAATAGGCTTTTCGAGAAAAAAGTCAGTTGTGAGATGGTTGTATATCAGGTGAGTATCAACATATATTGGTCACCTCTGCCTCCCTATAAAGAGTGGTCTGATAGTGGTCTTTTGAAACCTTTTCATAGGAAGAACTCAAAATAACTAATCTCCTCTATTCACTGCTTTTGGATGAAGAGCTGAGCACAAGAGAAGCTGGGCTCCATCACTACCTTAATAAGAAGAGAAAAGAAAAAGTAAGAATGATTTTTGGAAGTTGACAAAATTGCTACTTTCTGTGAAACCTGGTATTTTGGAATTTTAAAACTTCCTGTGCCTCTTCAAATCATTAATCCCTCAGATCTCCCAGCAGTCAAGGCAATGGTTTCAACGGATGGAGTGAGTATTAGGCCCTCCAGCCTGTAATCAAAGCAAGCAAGCAAGCAAACGTTCATGTGCAAAGTTGCTACTGAAGATATCCTAAATAGTGTCTTGAGTATCAACCTCAGCACATGAAATAACCTAAATAGTCAATGTATTCTCCATATTAAATTTCTTATTACTCCCAGCTGTATTATGTAAAATTGAAACATTTCCTTCTTATGTTCCAAATGCAGTCCTCTTTTTTTTCCATATAGGCAGAATCTAATGAAGCAGTCAAGGCAGCCAGAGCAGAAGTGGACGCTTGCAGAGAGGCCTATGACATCTTAATTGCTGAAGACAAAGTAAGAACAAGATCCATAGAACAGTTCAGATGGGGCTGTCAGTTTAGGCCTCACTGCACCCTTTGAATTTTGTTGGACTACATTGGTCTGTATTTAAGTATTTCAACTAATTAAGCTACAGATCATTTGTGAACTGCTGGATAGCTCAGTGGTTCAGATATCTGACTGCACAACCAGAGGCTGGGAATTCAATTTCCCACTGTGCCTGCTTGACAGTGGCTGGACTCAATGACCCATAGGGTTCCTCCAGCTCTGCTGTTCTAAGATGTTGTTGTTGTTGTTGTTGTTGTTGTTGTTGTTGTCGTCGTCGTCGTCGTCGTCGTCGTCATCATATTTGTTCTTTTCTCTCTGTCCCATCTATCTATCTATCTATCTATCTATCTATCTATCTATCTATCTATCTATCTATCTATCTATCTACTTTCTCCTGATAGGAGACTCAAAGCAGCTCACAACAGTTGAAACCGCACACTAATGTGGAAATACTATACAGTGGTGCCTCGCAAGACAGGCACTCCGTTTAACAACAAATCGACATTATGTCAAGGTTTTTGCGATCGCAAAAGCGATCGAAAAACAATGTTTTGAATGGGGGAATTTTGCTGCGCGATGATTGGTTCCCTGTTTCGGGAACCAATTTTCGCTTCCCGATGATCAAAACAGGTGATCGTTGTGTTTTCAAAATGGCCACCGGGTGCTCAAAATGGCTCTCCGCTGTGTTTAGGAGCCATTTTTCGCTGCACAAGCACCCGGAAATGGCCGCCCCTATGGAGGATTTTCGCTGGACAGTGAGTTCTTAGCCGATTGGAACACATTAACCAGGTTTTAATGCGTTTCAATGGCTTTTTTATTTTTGCTTTACGACATTTTCGTTCTACAGCGATTTCGTTGGAACGAATTACAGTGGGGTCTTGACTTGAGAACTTAATCCGTATTGGAAGGCGGTTCTCAAGTCAAAAAGTTCTCAAGTCAAATCTGCATTTCCCATAGGAATGCATTGAAAACTATTTGATCCGTATCTGCTCTTTTCCGTCCATAGAAACTAATGGGAAGCTCCTATTCTGCCTATTTTGTTTCTTTTTTTCTTAGGTCAAGAAAGGTTCAGGGAAGGCAGGGAAAAGACAGTCCAGGCAGTACAGTACCAGGCAGTCTGAAGACTGTCTCCCAATCCACTCTCTAAACGCTGGGAGGAGTGAGGAAGCAGACAGGCACCCTTTTCACTGGCCAACAGTTAACTGAAAGTTCACATTTTGCACTTTCCCTGCCTCCCA